CCCCGTTGACCCCCCGCGAATATTTACGTGAGGAAAATATTATCTTTTTTGTAGTTTTTTGATTTGAGAAACTCAGTTTTTCTTGGAAAATACGTGATTATCCTTTTAAATTTTATTAAAATTCACACGCATTTAATTGCGAGGGGCCGCGGGGGGCCGCGGGTGGGAGCCCCCCGGGTGGGTGGCGGCTAGCCCGCTTCTTCATCCGCCCAAATTGAAACCTTCCTTCTACAGGAAATGAGATATTTGAGCTCAAAGTCTGGACAGATCAGCGGCGGTCTATCTTCGGCTTTACTCATACGTATTACAATTAATTTGAGGGGACCCTAATTTTGAGCCCATTCATCTCGCTTCTGATAGAAGATATCAAAACGTGGCTAACTGATGAAATATTTGTGATATTATGATGAACATTTTGTCTGTTAACTAATTTTTGATATATTTGACAGGAAATGAGCTATATGAGCTCAAAGTTGACGGTTTGAGGTTGACAGTAGTTCCATTTCGGGTTATTCCAAACTTTCTGAATATCTTGTTTTTTTTTTGCAGAAAATAGGAAATGATAGCTGCCTGATCATTTGATCCCCCATTCTAAATTTTCTATTTACAAATTTGTTCCGATACGATCTACATTCTGATCAAGAAAATAAGAAAACACAGATCATATCGTTTCTTTTTGCAAATGAAACCCCCTCAATTCTTCATCTTGTGTCTTTTAAAGATAGTTCCGCTTATCTCTATCTCTAACTGGGAAAAATATTCTCACTATCAATCCATCATTTTCGTTTTCGATCACTTCTTTCGATGGGGTGTTCAGGGTCGATAGATCACTCAATGACGGTGAAAAGGGAGAAAATAATGAGAGATACTGGGAAAAGAAGCAATGATAAGTTTTAAAAGTCATCCAAGTCAAAAACTCATTCGAATTGTGGGCAACTGTATTTTTTTAATGAAAAATATTCTAATAATTGAACAAAAACCTATTTCTTTTGATGGAAATAGTTTCTACTAAAGGCAGTATTAAAAGTTTGAATTAAAATGTATTCACAGAAATGAAAAAAATGTTACCTATTCAATTTTGGTTTTAATTTCATTCAGCAAAAATAATATTTTCAGGTTTCTTTCACAAACAGAAAATATCTACAGTACCGTTTAATAAAATTGATAGAAACATATTTTCAAGTGATTTTCAGCTATTTTCAGGATGCTGAAGCTCGGCTGTCAAGTTTCCAGTCCCTGAGAAAATTTTAGATGGTGTGAAACAGGCTTTGTTTAGAGAATTTTTTGAATATTCTCAGTTTTTCAGGTATCCTGAAAGACACCCCTTCACCCCGAAACAAGACACCCCGAATCCTGAAAGACACACCTTTTAATACAGCGTTTAAATTTTCAAGTAATTAAGCAAATGCTTATGTACATTTTATTGAACGGTACTGTACATATTCTGAAAAACGCAATAATAAAAGTTTGATTCGAAAATGTATGCACAACGGGAACACAATTTTCCTATTCAATTTTGGTTTTAGTCTCATTGTCAGTCGAAATTCAGGTCCCTTTCACAAATAGAAAATGTGCAATTCTCAATCAGTTCTTGTTCCCAGTAACACTGCCGATATTCAAAAAACTAACTGTTTCAAGATGTTTGTTAAACTAGAAAATTATAACCTAAATATTAGAATTTGCATTACATTTCAAAAAGTTTGACTTCTCACCTCACTTTGTCTGTAAAACATGTGAAGGCGCATCATAACCTTTCCTCTTTTCTCTTATCATAATTTGTTCAATTTGTCTTAAAATTTTCAGGTTCAGTTAAAGACACACATGCCGCCGCCTCCTCCGTCATCACCTGATTGTCCTCCTCAAAGTATTTCCACCATGTACCTAGTACCTGTTTTTCTCTAATTACATGCGTATTTTTCACACTTTTCGCATTTTTTTTTTCTTTTTGGACAAGTCAGAAAATTGATAAGGGTATAGTAGAAAAAGGGTATTAGAGGAGGGAGGGAAGTGATAAGATAAGAACAGAGAGAGCGTTACATTTCCCATTATGTCGCCCCTATCATTTAGAACTTTCGATTCCGATTTTTTTAGCTTTGAAGATTACAGTATCCTAACTGTTTTTTGATTATTCTGTTTTTATATACCTGTGGAGCCAAAATGGTTATCAGACTGGTTACTGCTCTTTCTTATCACTTATAATCAAAACAGACATCAGTTTCTGTCTAGTTCCTTTTAGATTTTGTTTCAGTTTCTAAAACCGCCTTTTGCACAATAATTTCCCATAAATTTCCAGCTATGGGAGTCTACCCTTCCGATTCACAAATCTCTCTACCCTCCAAGGATTCTGAAATCTCACTGGACAGGTAAGTACTAGAAAAGGTTTATTGCCAGACCAGATTTATTAGTTACGAGATGACCAAACTACAATAAAACATGTATTAGAAGAACCCTTTATTGGAAGGGATCCTCTAATGGAAGGGCCCTCCGGAGGGATCATGGAACATTAGAAGAATATCCTCGTTTCCAGTATCCGCTCCCCACTACACGAACGATCTACAGAATGGCGAGCCATGTGGATTTCTATTGGAATGCAGTTTGTAGTTGGTGTTCAAATTTCTGTCTATTACATGTCCATGTGGCCATATCTCTCTGGATTGGACAAAACTGCCGATATGGATTTCTTGGGCTGGGTGGTAGCCGCTTGTAATATTGGCTGTACTATTGTAAGTTCTATTTTGTTCAAAACTTTTAACTTCTCTCGATCTATCAATTTCCACCTGAGCGCTTCAAAATTTGGAAGAAATGTGTCAGTTATCACTGCCGTTATCAAATAAGTTGATTAGAACTGAAGCTTTTTCAGTACTTTGGAAACTCGAAATTCGGTTCTAGGTGCAGAACTGGAAGTGAAAAAGTTTTCATGTTATCTTGTAGCATGCTCCAAAAAATTACGGTTATGTGTTGTTTTTAGTTCATAGCACACCTAGTTCCGTGTTTGAGGAGGTGAAAAAGAGAAAAAAACTTATAATTCTAACTTACACTCGAATAATCTTTCCAGTCCAACCCTCTCTACGGACTATGGAACCAAAAAACAATGTCGTGCAAATGGCCAACTATTACCGGATTCCTAATTGCCGCAATCGGACAATTAATGTATGGAGCTATTAGTGAAGTACAACAACATGGGAAATGGTACATGCTGGTTGCCAGAGTAGTCACAGGACTTGGAGTTGGAAACCTGGCGGCTTTGAGAGCCTATGGAGCAACAGCTTCTACTCCAAAAGATCGGCTGAAAGCTATTTCATATGGAACTGCTGGATACGTTTTTGGAATTTCATTTGGACCTGCTATTTCGGTAAGTTGTTCAAAAATCCTAAAGTGATTCAAATCAACACTCACGTCATTCATCAAATGTGAGCTGTTGGAGTCTTCGATTTACAATTTTTTTAAACATATACTTTACGAATACATTTAGGCATTCTTCACTCCCCTCGGCGAACAAGGCTACAATCTGGGAATTGTAAAAATCGATATGTATACCGCCTCTGCATATCTTATGGCGCTCATTTGTGTCCTGCAGCTGTTTTGATGCTCATTTTCTTCCATGAAGACTACGCTGGAATCATTGATAAAAGCAAGGATAGTGATGAAAAAGGTTAGTTGTTTTTTAAATCAGTTAAAATAGAATAAGGAGAACTGATTGAGAGGGTAAGCATTTAACAAAAACCTCAAAGACGTTGCCTTATGGTTTCGAAAAATTGGCCAAATTCTTACAAAATAGGTTAATTGGAATACGGCATTTTGGTATGACATAAAATTCATCATTTCCGTTTGTATTCTTGCTTTTTTTTTCTATTTCTGTCTTTTGATTGCGTTCGTTTGTTTATATGAGTTGATAAAGCTAACATCTGATAAGAAATATTACGATTCGGTAGGAATAAACCCCCTCCCCCCCCATTTCAAAAAACATGCATCAGAAGGGTCCCTCTAATTGAAGTGCCATCCTAGAGGCTCCACAAAAGATAGAAGGGCCGGCGTTTCTAAATCAGGTTGTACGGTAAACATTAAAAATGAGCATAATGTTATAAAAACATTTTTTTTTTCGAAAATCGAAATTTTCAGACATGGCTAGCTACGTAGTTGTCCCAAAATTCGACCTGGTCCCAGCACTCATCTGTATCTATTTGTACATGATTGTCAGTATGATCGCCACAAATATTGAAGTGTAAGCTGGTGTCAAAAACTAGGCGTCACTAGAGGAATTTCAAATTTCAGAATGTCTACTCCTCTCACAACCGTTCTTTATGATTGGAAAGATTCTCAAGCTATCCTCTACAATGGAATCATTGAATCTGTCACTTGTATCGTTTCGGTTTTGATTAATTTTGGAATTGGAAAGTCGAGAATCGGAAAAATGTGAGTCTTTATAAAAATATTTTGAAACAACTATTTGATTTTCAGCGACAAACGTCTCCAGATTCTGTTCGGATTGGCTGTATTTGTAGCATTCCACTTGGTCAACTACCCATGGTGGTTCTATTCGGGACCATTGAACTTCCTGCCACCAGGTACGATCTCTGGAATTTAGGAACATACATCATTTGTATCCTCAATCGACAACATCTCCGAAAAAACAAATCAATTTTCCCACATTCCAGGATCCAACACTACTGTCGTCGGAGGATGTCTTGACACCTACACCTGGTGTAGCTCAACCACTCGTGTCCCAATGGCTCTCTATATCTTCGCATTCGTTTTCTTCTTCGGTATCGCATTTCCATTTGTTGAGTCTCCAGCTGCAGCATTGTATTCTGAAATTCTTGGTCCCAGAAAGCAAGGAACCATGCAAGGGCTATTCAGTTTCGGAGGAAGTGTCACACCATTTGTGGCTAGTATTATTATCACGTACGTTTATTTTTTCTATTTAGAGCGCAGTTGCATTCGATGAGCTAGTTTCACTACAACAAGATTGTGTAGCCTTGTTCAAGATGTTCACATTAAAAAATCTCAATTTTCAGATTCCTCTTCCAACACACTGGATATAAATACGTCATTATCCTCCAATCATCTACAATTTTCATTGCCTTCGTTCTGATGGCAGTTTTCTACAATCGACTGGTCCCGTTGAAACTGAAACCCAATAATGGAGAATCTGCAGCTTACAAAAATGGAATTTTCTATTCCATGTAAAAAATGGAATCATCAGAAGACGACGGCATAAGACATCAGCCGGAGAAAAATAGCATTGCACAAATAACCTGTTCATTTTTATAATTTATCACTTTTTTTACATTTTTTTGAAATTCTTGTTTTGTATGTACCGAATGATCTCGCAATTTTGGAAATTATCAAATAAATAATAGTTTTTCATGGCATTCTTCATGAAAATTTTTAAAGAATTGTCTGGATTTTGAAAAAGTGTAGTGAATGAACAAATTCAGGGCCAATCGCATAATTTGGCTGAAACTTGGATTTTTTGAAGCCGAATCTTCAGCACTGTTCATAAAAACATAGAATGTTTTTTGTTATTCTGTTGTTATGATTTTAAAGTTCAACTTCAAATAGTTCCAACTGTTTCCGCCTCTCGCTTACTCCTTATTATCAAAACAGACATAAATTTCTGCCTAGTAACTCTAAAATTCAGTTTATATTTCTAAAAAGCCTTAATTAACAGTATTTTAGCTACGTCTTTCCACATTACTTTCTGAGATGAAAAATTCGATCATGGGAGTCTCCCCAACAGAATCACAGGTTTCTTTACCGTCCAAGGATCCTGGAATCTCACTGGATAGGTGTGTACTAAGAAAAAGCTTATAGCCAGACCAATATCCTTGTTTCCAGCATCCACTCCCCACTCCACGAACGATCTACAGTATGGCGAGGCATGTGGATTTCAATTGGGATGCAATTTGTAGTTGGTGTTCAAATTTCTGTCTATTACATGTCCATGTGGCCATATCTCTCTGGATTGGACAAAACTGCCGATTTGGATTTCTTTGGTTGGGTGGTAGCAGCTTGTAATATTGGCTGTTGTATTGTGAGTTATTTTGGAGCACTGCTTTTTTAACTTTCCTGTGAAATATAATTTCCCCTAATGAGGTTTTAAATTAGCTGGAAAAATGTGTCAAACTCTTTCAGTACTTTGAAAATTCGTGATTGGGTTCTAGATGCAAGACGACCCCCTTCTCACGTGAGACTAAAAGTGATTAAAAAGTTGTTAGGTGATTACGGAACATGTTCAACAATACGTTAGATTGTTTTTAGGTTCAAAACATTTATCACACCTACATACACCCGTCGGTTAAAACAATTAAATTGGTGAAGGAGGAGGTAGTCCGGTGTATTGATATACAGACAAAGAAAAGTTGACTAATAACACCAAAAGCAATAACAGATTATCATTACAGTCCAATATTTTTTACGGACTATGGAACCAAAAAACAATGTCGTGCAAATGGCCAACTATTACCGGATTCCTAATTGCGGCAGTTGGACAATTAATTTATGGAGCAATTAGTGAAGTACAACAACATGGGAAATGGTACATGCTGGTTGCCAGAGTAGTCACAGGACTTGGAGTTGGAAACCTGGCGGCTTTGAGAGCCTATGGAGCAACCGCTTCCACTCCGAAAGATCGGCTGAAAGCTATTTCATATGGAACTGCTGGATACGTTTTTGGACTTTCCTTTGGACCTGCTATCTCGGTAAGTTGTTTAAAAATCTTAAAGTGATTCTTGTACGCTTATGCCTTTCATCAAATGTGAGCTGTTGGAGTCTTCGATTTACAATTTTTTTAAACATATACTTTACGAATACATTTAGGCATTCTTCACTCCCCTCGGCGAACAAGGCTACAATCTGGGAATTGTAAAAATCGATATGTATACCGCCTCTGCATATCTTATGGCGCTCATTTGTGTCCTGGCAGCTGTTTTGATGCTCATTTTCTTCCATGAAGACTACGCAGGAATTATTGATAAAAACCAAGACAGTGATGAGAAAGGTTAGTTTTAAAGATACCAGTTTGCTTCAAACAACTAGGTTTTCAGACATGACCAACTATGTAGTTGTACCGAAATTCGACCTGGTCCCAGCACTCATCTGTATCTATCTGTACATGATTGCGAGTATGATTGCTACGACTGTTGAAGCGTAAGTTTTTCAGCAATTTCAGAACTATCTTTACATCATCTTGATATCCTTTATCTGTGAGAAACTAGCCATCACAACAGAAAATTTGATTTCCAGAATGTCCACTCCTCTCACAACCGTCCTTTATAATTGGAAAGATTCTCAAGCAATTCTATACAATGGAATAATGTCATCTGCCGGTTGTCTAGTTTCGGTTCTGACTAACTTTGGAATTGGAAAGTCGAGAATTGGAAAAATGTGGGTTTCTGCTTTTTGATCAGACTTTTATGAGTTGGTTCAGATGAAAAATCTGTATCATGATTTTTGTACTGGTTAGGTGCTAGAAACAACCATAATCTTTTTCAAAAAATAAAATAACTTATTGATTTTCAGCGACAAACGTCTCCAGATTCTGTTCGGATTGGCTGTATTTATTGCATTCCACTTGGTCAACTACCCATGGTGGTTCTATTCGGGACCATTGAACTTCCTGCCACCAGGTACGATCTCTGGAATTTAGGAACATACATCATTTGTATCCTCAATCGACAACATCTCCGAAAAAACAAATCAATTTTCCCACATTCCAGGATCCAACACTACTGTCGTCGGAGGATGTCTTGACACCTACACCTGGTGTAGCTCAACCACTCGTGTCCCAATGGCTCTCTATATCTTCGCATTCGTTTTCTTCTTCGGAATCGCTTTTCCATTCGTCGAGTCTCCAGCTGCAGCATTGTATTCTGAAATTCTTGGTCCCAGAAAGCAAGGAACCATGCAAGGGCTATTCAGTTTCGGAGGAAGTGTCACACCATTTGTGGCTAGTATTATTATCACGTACGTTTTTTTTCTATTTAGAGCGCAGTTGCATTTGATGAGCTGGTTTCACTACAACAAGATTGTGTAGCCTTGTTCAAGATGTTCACATTAAAAAATCTCAATTTTCAGATTCCTCTTCCAACACACTGGATATAAATACGTCATTATCCTCCAATCATCTACAATTTTCATTGCCTTCGTTCTGATGTCAGTTTTCTACAATCGACTGGTCCCTTTGAAACTGAAACCCAATAATGGAGAATCTGCAGCTTACAAAAATGGAATTTTCTATTCTATGTGAAAAAAAGAGTCATAATCATAACATAGAAATCACAATTGCAATTCGTTTATTCAGAAAAAAACACAATAATAGCCATTCAATATGATTCACGAGAGCCAATCGATTCTATTTTTCGATGACAGTCCGACTGGAGAGAGCCGTTCGAGTGGAGCTTTGTCTTGTTGAGATTTCAGACTGAAAGTGTTTCTTCTTTTTCTTCTTTTTTTTTTAATCCAACACTCTACCTTCTCAGTATGCTGGCTACTACTCGATGCACTCGACACTATCTCCTTGCTCTTTTTCTGTGGAGGGAAAATCTGAGGAAGGTAGAAGTAAATCAAGAGAGCGATAAGATGAGGAATCATGTAGAGTTTTCTAAAAACGAAAACAAATGTATTTGTCTGAAATCTAAAAAAAACCTGTAGACAAAAATACTCGGCCAGAAGTGCATAACGAAGAATGGCCAGTGGATGTAACCGATTGCAAATTTAGAGACAATCATTCCAAAAATATCATAGACCAATTTGTGCATTGAGTTGTCCAGGAATCGATGACGCATGCAACGGCGGAACTGAAAAATATTTAGTTTTGTAATCTAAAGATTTTCAATCGATACCGTAGCCGCAGTAAGTGTGAACAGAGCACTTGTCAAGAAGGAGAAGTAGTATCCAACAGCCAATCCATGCCACGCGGCACCAGTCACATAAACCGCCAGAGTACGGTAGGGACCATCCACTCGTTCATACACAACTCGTCGAAGCCACGCCACTGTCCAGATATTCCAATTGTCAACCATCTCTTTGTAGTTTTGACCGAACTGGAAAATTTTAAATTTATCTGAACCTAGATCCGAATATTACCTCGACTCTCAATGGTTTCACATTTGTAGTCTTAGACCACTTGGCCTCCGCAGTTTCATCGTCAAGGCCATCGTAACCGAATCCGGAGACGTTGCAGATGGCATCAGCTGTAAAACAAAATATATTCTCAGAGCTTCTTTCATAAAAACTCACAAATAGTCCAAGCAAAGTAATAGGGGAGCCTGTGTACTGTAGATGCTGCTACTGTAATCAACCACCAAATAAACAAATTGTACTCATTGATCACTGGATCCGAAGTCAATGTCATTGGAAGATATGGTCCGGTTATTGTGTAAACCACAGAAAATCCAATCGCAATTTCAAATTTTCGCATTGCTGTCGAAGTGGGATCGTAGGGTTTTCCGGTTTTTTCATTGGTTGGGACGTGTTGGAGATCCAAGAAAGTGGACCAGGTGGAGTAGTGATTCATGGGACCAACGATTACTGTCTGAAAAGTTTTATTATAGAATCAGGGTTCCGTAGTTTTTAAATCCTAAAAATCTGAAAAATAGGCTTTCAGCAATTTTGATAATCTAAAAAATCTTGAAAATCCAAAATCAAAAAATCTACAATTTCAAAAATTTTAAAATATAAAAAATCTAGAATTTCGAAATTCTAAAAATTTCAAAAATCTAGATTTCCAAAATACTGAAAATCAAAAATCTAGAATTTGAAAGTTCTGAAAATCTGAAAATATAGAATCCCAAAAATTCTAAAAATTTGAAAATTCACAATTTCAAAAATTCTGAAAATCTAAAAATCTAAGATTTCAAAAATGTTGAAAACCTGAAAAATCCTGAATCTTCGAAATTCTGAAAATCTAAAAAGTCAAGATAAAATTTAAGCAATCTAAAAAATCAAACATCTAGAGTTCAAGAGCCCTAACAAGTAACAATCCTCAAAAATCCGAGGAATCTAATTCTAAGAATCTAAAAATTTGGAAAATTCTAATTTTTCCAAAATGAAGAATTTCAAACTCTACCTGGAAATTGAACATGTAAGATGCAAAATCCAGCAAGCTCGGAATTTTCTTGACCGCATCTCTCTTCTGTCCAGCACTCAATTCCGATTCCTCTCTTCCCATACCATCCGTAATAGCCGATGCCAAAAGTGTGATCTTTCCAACTGCTACCATCATACTCCCAGTCACATCCAGGCAGTACGTCTTCTGATACATCCAACGATAGGCGTGTATCAAAAGAAGATATCCCATGGCAAAGGCAAATACTGCTCTAGAGAATGGAAAGTTTGTCACTAGAGCGCAATTGCATATTAACCTACTTATGAACGTGTCTTGGGGTTACTGTAAGCATCAGGATATAGCTACCGAATCCATTGATGAATAGATGGATGATGGCACTGAAAAAAAAGGAAAAAAGGAATTAACCCCAAAAAGTTTGAAAGAAAATCATACTTTCCATAGCAAAAATAGGTGAAAGCCAGGCCTATTCCAGTGCTCACGGCGGCACGAGTTGTACGATTTGCCTGACGGAACTGTAGACGGAACCAGTATCCCAAGCCAAAGGAAAAGAAAAGAACTGTCACGAAGTTTAACTGGAAATTGGAAATTTTCAATATTGGAGGTCAACCAACTAGTATGCTTGAGGCTGGAGAGCTTGACATTCCCGCTCAAGCAAGCTTTCCCCCTTCTTTCTATACGCAGTTTACAGATTGTTGAGCAGTGCGATGGCGTGGCCTACTGGCTAACGCTGTAGGTTTTGGTGCGGTTCCTCACGGGTTCGAGCCCTCTATGAGGAATATTTGTTGCATAGCTTTTTAAGAGATTTTTAAATCTATTTTTGAAATATTATTTTTCTAAAATTCGTTCAAAACTAATACCTGATCCAAATTAATACCAGTAGCGCGAGAAATCGGTCTCAAAATTGTCACTGGATCGTAGAAAATATGATTATTTTCATCTGGCTCATCGTTCAACGACGACATTTTCCTATTTTCATATGTGACGCTTTTTTCAAGAAGTCAACGAGAAAGCTGTCTAGTTTTGTGCCTTTTTGATGTACCTGAGCTGCCAACAGTGCCAGCTTGTTGACCCGCCCAATTTTCTAGGTTGAGGTCACGATTTTCTTTTTAATTTGCCTTTTTTGTCAGATTTTCTGAAATTGCATCTCGCTCTGGTGCTCGTCTCTTTTTTGAAAACCCGCCGAAAGCGGATTTTGCGTCAATCCGCCACCGAAAGTGTGTCAACAGACTTTCTCTGTGTCTCTTCTCTCTAACACGTGACAGTGGAGCGCGCCTGCATACCACTAGCATCGTTTTTGAGACCCCGGAAATTCCGGGGAAAAAAACTCCGGGGAAAAAAAAATTGTCCAGGAATCGATGACGCATGCAACGGCGGAACTGAAAAATATTTAGGCTCCGCCCCCGACTCCGCCCACTTTTCTCCGGAGTTTTTTTTTCCTCGGAGTTTTTTTTCCCCGGAATTTGCGGGGTCTCTCGTTTTTCGTACTTTTTCAGCGACTGTTTTAGAAGTTTAACCTGAAAATATCAAAAAAATAGTTACAGAAATGTTACGATCGACGAGTCGGATACCCATTGGAAAGCTACTATCAAGAAGAATCCATCATCAAACCAATGGGTTGATTGTCAGTTCAAAAGATGTAGTTTTTCTTATTGCTAAGCTATTTTATACAGATTCCATCGAAAAATGTGTTGCCCAGACAGCAAAAACGTCAAATTCTGTTCAAAATGGGGAATGAGACGCCAGCAAGGGTTGTGGGATATTATGTTGTGTAAGGAATAAAGTTTTGAATTTTTTATAAAAATGCCAGTTTTCAGATTTCCCGTAATTCCGGAAGAGACTGTAGAGAACAACTGTTTCATGTGTAACATTGCGAAAAGTGAAGATTGGCCGAAATTGGCGACCGCGGAGCCCAGAGAAATGTACGAGGGAACTGTGAGAATGCTCATGGACTACGGAGCCACTGTAATGGAACATATGGAGCATTTGGCGACTTGTATGCATTTATTCAATATTTTTCGACAAAAAACAATTATTTTCAGTGCCAGCCGAAGATCGAAAATTCGAGAACGTCGTCGATCCGCTGCTCACCGAGGAGTACGATGTGAATTTTGCGTTTCAGACGCTCGTGCTGAAAATGCTCACTGATTGGCCAGATTGTAATAGGAAACTTTTTGATGCCGATCTTCATCATGTTAGTGATTTTTTAACAGAAATTTTCAACACGAAAAAATGCAAAACATCCAATTTTTAAGGCGAATTCCAAATTTGACGCCGAAAATTTCTAGAAAATCTTAGGGAACGTTCTAAAAGGCTAATAATCGCTTTATTTGAAAGTTTCCCAGTGAGAAAATAGTCAGAAAATGTAAAATTTGACGCTGAGCATCCCAAATTCTTTCTTTTTTCAGATCAAAATCATGTGCGCTCGTGACCAAATGGAAAAATTGACGAATAAAGATTTCCAAGATGCCATTAAACAGCTTTACGAGTCCAAAGAAAACGGACTCTCCGAGTGGCAATCCAGACTTCTTGAGTGGTATTTGCTGGAGGTGAATTTATTCTAAAAACGAAAATTCATAAATTTGCGTTCTAGATCAAAGCTTCCGGCCTTGACAAACACGATGATAAGACCCGAAAAGTGCTCGGATCATGGAGCAAATTCATCGATGAGTATAGGAGCAAGTACATGTAAGCTTTGAAATTCTAAGCAGTTCTAGAAAATCTGATTTTCAGCACCGGCGTGATGTCTACCAACGATCAGCAGACGTTCGTTGTGAACGATAAGAAAATCATCAAGGATGCTCCACCGCACATTTTGCAAAAGCTAGCTGTCGATGAGTAAGAATTCATAGTTTGAAACAATTCTTAATATTTACTGATAAAAAAAATCATTTACCAACGAAAAATCTGGATTTAATCACAAACATTCTCTCTAAAAATCATTTTGCGAGCTAAATTGAGAAAAAAAATGTATTGCTCAAAACTGCTCAAAACTTATTGCTCAAAACTGCTCAAATATTGCTCGAAACCCCGTTTTTCCTTTTAAAAATCGCTCATTTATGACCCGAAATAATGCTTCCTAACCAATTCCAGACAAAGCTGGGAATCAGGACCATGGCGTGGCCGTATGACACCCCACACCATCTACCCCTTCATGCAGTACTGTGGTGATCGACAACTCAGAGCGACGGCGTGGGAGAAATGGACGAGTAAAGCTGGCTTCGATCACGATTTCTACAATAATTCTATCAATATTGAAGAGTTGAGACATAATAAGTGAGAGGCAGTGAGAGGCTATATATTCCGGAAATGAGCAATTTTCAGCGAAGGACTAGCCAAAACGCTTGGCTATGCTTCGGTTGCCGAGCATCGATTGGCTAATAAAATGGCGGCGTCGCCAGACACTGTTAGAGGATTTATCAATGCGTAAGTTTTGAAGCTTTTGGTTTTGAACAAAAAATGGTAAAATTTGGGTACTTCTAGGCCGTTTTAACTTGGTGGCCTAGCTTTTGAGGTTTCTAGGCCACCAATTTTTATGGCCTAAAAACACACCAAGAGATTGTCATGCCATTTCTAAGTCATTTTAACATGGTGGCCTAATTTTCGTCAGTCGAGTTTTTTAGGCCACCAATTTTTATAACCCAAATTGACTTAGTACTTATCTAGTGAGTTTTTAGATCATTTTAGCATAGTGGACTAACTTACGCAAGTTGAGTTTTCTAGGCCACTAATTTATTTTTATATGGCCTAGAAATGAAATGCTAATTACCAGTCCATATTCTAGGCCATTATAGCATGATGGCCTAACTTTCGCAAGTGGAGCTTTCTAGGTCATTTTAATAAGGTCTAACTACGAGTGGCCTAACTAGTTTTCTAGGTCACGTTTCGATTGATTCGATTGTACCGAAAATAATATTGATTCCTAATTCTGTCTTTTTTTCAGTCTGACCCGCCGCATCCGTCCTGTCGTAATCGATCGAATGGAATCCTGGTCTGCCTGGGCGTCCCGCTGTGAGCTAATCACCGGAGAGCTCCAAGCCTACGATATGCCATACGTCTGCAGAAAAGAAGCTGAACATCACTACGACGTCAACCCATTGGACCTGATGAATCACTTCCCATTCTGGCCCACATTCCAAAACATCGTCGGAGTCGTTGGCCATATTTTCAATTTGGAATTCAAGGATATCACTGATAAGGGATACGAGAAAGCTCATGCTGACGCCAGAATCTATTCTGTTGGAGACAAGTTCAGTGGTCAACACTACGGCAGGCTGTACATCGATCCGTATGATAGACAGAATAAACGAGGTGGATGGAATGTGATGTTGGCAAGACCAGAGTCAAAGGAACGGGGATTGGATAAGATTGTGTACTTCATTGGATCGGCAGTGGCACCAACTGCGAATGGACCTTCTCTTCTGCATCATCAACAATTACAACAGTTGCTTTTCCATGTAAGGAGGGGACAGTAGAAATCCTACTGTAGGAGATTCAAAACTAAATTCTAATTTCTCCTATTTTCAGTTCGGTCGAAGTGTTCAACTGCTTCTCTCCCAATCGCCATACCGTGACATCGCCATCCCATGGTCTCCATTCTACGCCTCCGACTGGGACGCTGCTGACATGTTCCCTACGTTCCTCCAGATGTTTGTGACGAAACCAAACCTCCTGGCTACCATCAGCTCCCCACACATCATCACCAATCAACCACTCACCGAAGAGCACGCCAACTCAGTAGCCCTGACCATCTCAAGAGCATCACTCTGGGAGACCTACCGTACCTTGTTCTGGAGTGACTTTGATTTGTCGATTTACGAGATGGAGGATCGAAAACAAAAGTTCTGGTTGGACATGTACAAACAAATGTATGAGGAGTATTTCCCGTTCAAGAGAAACAAGAATGACTATCAGCCGTGCTCGTTTACGCCGATTTTTGCTCTTCAACCACATATGAGCATGTATTATAGGAAGTTGTGGGCAGAGGTAATTATAAAAAATTTGAATTTTGCTTTCTAAATAGGCCATTTTATTATGGTGGCCTAACTTTTGCAAGTTGAATTTTCTAGGCCATCTTAGTAAAATTGCCTAGAAATGGTTTGATATTCATTTGGTGTGTTTTCTAGACCAATTGAACAAAGTGGCCTAACTTTTGCAAGTTGCGTTGAATTCTCTAGGCCACCACGTTAATATGATCTAGAAGTAATTCAACATGACCTTGGTGTGTTTCTAGGTCATGTTGAAGTGGTGGCCTAACTTTTGCAATTTTCATGACCTAAAAAACTCAACTTGCAAAAGCTAGGCCGCCACTTCAAACGACCTTAATTCACACCAGCCGAATATTAGGCGAATTTCAGGCCATATTGAAGTGATGGCCTAACTTTTGCTATCTGACTTTTCTAGGCCATCATGATAAAATAACCCAGAGTTGGTCTGACATTCACTTGGTGTGATTTCTAGACCATTTTAACGTAGTGGCCTGACTTTTGCAAGTTTTCTAGGCCAATTTGACGTGGTTCTAGGCCGGGT